GGAATTATAAGTTTATTTAGGGCTTGGTTCCCCATGTAGGTCCCAGGACAAGCCCTCCTACCTGCTTCCTCCCTGGTACTCCTGTGACCCAGGTGGGGCAGCCCTGCTCTGCTACATCCCTAGGACTATGGAGTCACAGAGGCCAGAGGGTCTCCCCTCTCCACAGAGCACAGCATGGCCCATATCCCCCGGCTCCTCCATGATTGTCCTCTAAGTCTTCTATCAGCAAGGAGATTGGAGCTGGCCCTAGGATGGCACCAGGTCTGGGCAGGGGCTTGACAAGATTTGGGACCCCTCCATGGGGTGCCTATATACCCACCCTGCCCTCAGTGAGGCTCTGCTAGCTCTGGTGGGCAGAGCCTAGTTCTCCCGCCAGGGGGACATCCAGTGGGGGTGGGACACCACGGCTACATCCCCAGGGTCTCTCCACACTTGGCTGTCTACTGTGGCCCATGCATGTGTGCTTCTGTAAGCTCTGTGGTGCCCTGTGGGCACCTGGGTGGCTCCCTGCTCTGCAGGTTTAATTATGAGACGCTGGGTGGGGTCCTCAGCTTTTCATCCTGGTAATGGGTATCATTATGGTTTTCCCAGCCCAAAGATGGATTGTAAGGATAGAGCAAGGCAGATACTAGCAGGGGACGCCCAGAAAGTTCATGCGGCTGTAAGGAAGGCATAGGGCACCATCCTGTCCCAGACCAAGCCAGCCTGGCCAACCACAGCTGAGCAAATGGCAGCTTTGCGCAGAGAGGGCCACAGGCTCAAGTCCTCCTGCTCCTTGGTGACTCAAACTAGTCCCCAGCTCTCAGAGTACAGGGTGACACTTTTACCGCAGCCCAGCCCCCAGGGCAGCTCCCCAGATGCAGCCACCTCCCAGGACAAGCATCCTCAGGCAGCACCAAGAGCACTTTGCCATGCATAAGCCTCTCGGGCTCTTCCAGCTACACTCCTGGACAGGGTCACAGTGACCTCAGATGCAGTTGTAGGATGGTGGTGTCCCCAGTCACTCAAATGACAGTAGCACAGGGTAGAGGGGCCCCTGCACTGAATGCTGGATGCCCGGTGCCATGGGGCTGAGGCTCTGTCTGGAATC